GCTGCCGGCGGGGGTGACGCCCCCCCGACGCTGCCTGACTCCTCCTCCTCCTCCTCCTCCTCCACCTCCTCCTCCTCCTCCTCCTCCTCCTCCTCCTCCTCCTCCTCCTCATACTCCTCCTCATACTCCTCCTCATACTCCTCCTCATACTCCTCCTCATACTCCTCCTCCCTCCTCCCCCTCTGGGGCCACGAAGCGCTGTACTGGGTGGGGGAGGCGCATGCGAACACCGCCACTGGGTTCTTCGGTAGATCCCCCTATGAGGCCACGGAACGTTGTGTTCGGCGGGGAAAACGTATGAGAACACCGCCGCTGGGGACTCTGGTGGAACTTCCGACGAGGCCACGAAACGTTGTTTTGGGTGGGGGTAACGCATGCGAACGCCTCCGCTGTGGCATTCGGTGGAGCCCCCTATGTAGCCACGAAGCGCTGTACTGGGCGGGGGAGACGCATGCGAACACCGCCGTTGGGGCCTCCTTTGGAGCTCCCTGTGAGGCAGCGAAGCGCTGTACTTAGGGTGGAGACGCATGGAACGCCGCCACTGGGGCATTCGGTGGAGCTACTTATGGGGCCACGAAACGTTGTACTGGATGGGTAAGACGCATGCGAACACCGCCACTGGGGCCTTCGGCGGAGCTTCCTATGGGGCAATGAAGCGTTACATGGGGTGGAGGAAACGTATGCGAATACCGCCACTTGGTCCCTCGGTGGAGCTTCCTATGGGGCCACGGAGCGCTGTACTAAACAGAAAACGCATGCGATTGCCGCTACAGGGGCCTTCAGTGGAGCCCCCTACGGGGAAACGAAGCGCTGTACTGACAGGGGGAGACGCATGCGAACACCGCCACTGGGTCCTCAGGTGGAGCTCCCTACGGGGCCACGAAGCGCTGTACTGGGCGGGGGAGACGCATGCGAACGCCGCAACAGGGGCCTTCGGTGGAGCTCCGTGTGGGACCACGAGAAGTGTGCGGGGTATGCCAACATGAGTGGCGATGATGGTGACGAGAACGGCGGTGATGGTGACGAGGATGATGAGGATGGCGATGCTGAAGGCGACGGTGATGATGCTGATGATGAAGATGATGGTGGTGGTGATAGTGATGATGTTGATGATGGTGATGATGGTGATGATGATGGTGGTGATGATGTTGGTGACGATGATAATCATAAGAATGATAATACTCATAAGATTAATAATAATGATGATGATGAAAAACTCACTGATGGTGATGATGATGATGATGATGATGATGATGATGATGCTGATGATGATGTTGGTGATGGTTATGGTTATGGTGATGGTGATGGTGATGTTGATGGTGATGGTAGTGGTGGTGGTGATGACGAGGTACGCTGGGCGTTGTCTCTTCAAAACGAGGACCCAACACCACAGGATGGTTGGGAAAAAGTGTTTTTCCACTGACCGTGGTGCCCATTGATTCCTTGCTTCCCTATACTCATTCTTCCGCCACGCTCCCACCGCTGGCACCACGGATCGGGGAAATCCAAATGGTCCCAGCCAGTGGGGTGCGCACACCTGCACTGTCCGGTCTTTGGCAGGCGGGCGCCTGCGGGCCACTTGTTCGAGGTGAGGTACGCTCTCGGCGCAAGTCCGTTGCAGTCCGACAAAAAACAAACAAACAAAAAAACAACAAACCCAAAACAAAAACTACACCACTCCTTCGAGCGACTCCTCCTGGGCGCGTCGTCAGGGCGGCCGGGCGCTTCGCTGAAGATCTCTTCACCACTCACGACACTGAGGCTTGAGGCTTCCAGCAGCTGAATGGATGGAGAGCGCGTCGTTTTCAGAACGGGACCCTCGCCTTGGCGCCTCGCACACTCGTCCTTAACAGTTCCGACAGGTACGCGGATGGAGGGCGAGTCGTTGTCGAATTGGGTTCTCGCCTTCGCGTTGCGCACATTCGTGCTTCAGACGATCAACAAGTCGTCGTTGTCTTATTCATTGTTTTGCCGATCGCCGCGGGCCCTCGCACCCCCCCTCCCCCCCTCCCCATGCAGTAGATCTTGGCTGTTTGGGGCGCCTGTTTCGAGCAAATGGAGTCTCCCGCCAGGACGCACTGTTGCAGACAGTCGCGCTGAGCAGAGGTCCGGAGCCAGACCCCCACCCTCCCTTCCGCCCAGTGTCGAAACGTCGAACAAGAAAACGCTTACCGGTCACAGTCGGCCCGGATTAGTAGGTCGACCCTGCCAGCTCAAGGGTACCCTAGTGCCCTGTGTCTCGCGACACGTGCCTCCTTACACTCCTATGGCGCTGTGGCCCTCGGAAGGGTCTTGTGCCCTCTCGCGTGTCCTGTCCAATCAAGGCCGACTACGCGTATGGGCTTCAGGAGGGAAAAAAAGCACACAGACACAATTAATCGTCCACTTCCCAGAAAATATGGGAAACTATGGGAAGTGGGGGGGAAGACAGAAACCCCAAAAATATGGGAACAGATGGGGAATCTGGTTACTTGTGTGTATTTATTTGTGTGTCCCAGGGTCCCTTCATGTACGCGTATGGACTGCGCGCTGTTTTCTGGAAAGAACAGAGCACTCGGCGCTCAGCCTCGCACGCTCTCGCCCTGCTCAAATCCCACCTTCTGCACTGCCGGAGGAGGGCGGGCGGTTGCCAAGAGGGGGGGGGCCCTCGGCGCGGCGCGCCGCGCGCGCGAAGACTCGGTCCAAGGCCAGCAGCTCCACCGGCAGAGGGCGGCACCCCTGCAGCACGGAGCCTGTCGATTGTGCAGCTACCTCGTGGACGCAGGGCGGCTCGTTTTTTGTTGTTGCGCTTGTTTAAAAGATATAAAAATAAAAGATTAGACGTTCGCTCAAGCACTTCGCTTGTTGTTATGACCACGTCGCTTGTTTTTATGACCGCGCCGCGCGCGCTCGCTCCAGGACGCGCAGCTCCGCGGGCAGAGGGCGGCACCCCTGCAGCACGGAGCCTGTCGATTGTGCAGCTACCTCGCGGACGCAGGGCAGCTCGTTTTTTTATTTCAAAAAACTATATATAATAATAATAATAATAGTAATAATAATAAATAACTAAATAAATAAATAAATAGACGCCCGCTCAATCACCTCGCTTGTCAAGATGGGGCTATCGGCTCGGCGCCTCGCGCGCGCCTCGCCCCAAGACCAGCAACTCCGCGAACAGGGGCGGCACCCCTGCAGCACGGAGCCCGTCGACCGTGCAGCTGCAGCCGGGCCGCGGAAGAAGGAACCCTTTTGGTTTGGGGAGGGGTTCAGTGCTCCTCGTTTGTTGTACGCCTTGTCTATCGTGCAAATACCTCGTGGACGGAGGGCGGCTCGTTCTTTTAAGATCAGGCGCTCGCTCAACCACCTCGCTTGTTTTCAGGACCGCGCACGTCGACTTCGGAAACGGTTCCGCGGGGCGCTGAAGAAGGAACCCTTCTGGTTGGGGAGGGGCCCGCTGTTCCGCAATCGTTGTGCAGTCTCTCCTCGCTGGTCCCGAGGTTGTCCGTGGGAAGCCGAGGCTCGACGGATGGAACGAGTGGCCCCCTTCCCTGCTTAGGGGGTTCCTTCCGACAGCGTTTCGGCTGTGTTCCACGGGCGGAGGGCGGCTCGTTTGGCGGCTCGTTTTTTTTTCTTGTTTTTTTTTTTAACAAATATATATATATATATATATATATATATATGTATATATATATATATAAAAAAAAGTCCGCTCGACCACCCCGCTGGTCTGCAGTGACCGCGCCCGTCGGCTCCCGAAGCCAGCTCCGCGGGTGGAGGGCGGTGCCTGCTCCCAACTGGGGGGGGGGCTGCCGCTGGGCCCCGCTCGATCTGTGGGCAGCCTCGGGGGCTGGCAGGCTCGAGGGCGCTCGTCTTTCGAGACGGAGGCGTCGCCCGAACTTCGGGCCCGCGGTGCGCTCTTCTCTTAGGTGGGGTGCTTCGCGCAGGGAAGCAGGATATGTGCAGAGAGGAACGAGGATGGACGGACTTGTGACTGGGGGATATGCTGGTCCTCCTCCTTATCCTCTTGTTGTTCCTCCTCCTCCTCCTCCTCCTCCTCCTCCACCTCATCCTTCTCCTCCTACCCCTCTTCCTTTCCTCCTACCCCTCTTCCTTTCCTCCTCCTCCTCCTCCTTCTTCTCCTCCTCCTCCTCCTCCTCCCCTTCCTCATCCTTCTTCCGTATGTCTGCCTCCTTTCTCCCCCCTTCTCTTCCTTCCTTGCTTCCTTTCTCTCTCCCACCTCCTCATACTCATACCCCTCTCCCTCTCTCAGACTTCTCTTCTTTTCTCCTCAGTCCGATCCCTCTCTCCTCACTCCTCCGGTTTCCTCCCTCCACCTCTTTCTTTTTTCCCTTCCCTCTTCCCCCAGACCTCTTTGGCCGTCGCCTTTTCAGCAAGCTGTGCCTTGCAAGCCGTTCCAAAAGGTTCCTCCCCGGAGGTCTCGTTCTTCCTCTCCCCCCCTTCCGATCCTCCGCTCGGAGGGCACCAGCAATAGAGTGGAGGCCCATGCCAAGAAACACCCTGCTTGCCTCCAGGGTGCACTGGGTTTCTTGGGTGTCGATGGTTTTGCAATGGAAAGCGCGACGGTCCCACACCAAAAATCGATGGACGTCATGGGGTCTCAGGGTTAGGTTTCTCGTGGAAGGTGTCTTGTGGTCGGGCCCCTACTGTATAGTTGGGACGTTCAGGAAAGGGCCTTGCCGTCGAGGTTCGAAGGAGTTGTCATCTCTCCCTCGGCGGAAGGTCGGCGGAAGCAGAACGAGGCCGCCTCCGCCTGCGGAAGCCAGCGGGAGGGCGGCGGAAGGCGGCGGAAGTAAAAGATGCGCCCCAAAGAGATGAACACCCTCCTCCTCCTCCTCCTCCTCCTCCTCCTCCTCCTCCTCCTCCTCCTCCTCCTCCTCCTCCTCCTCCTCCTCCTCCTCCTCCTCCTCCTCCTCTCCTCCCTCTTTCCTCCTCCTCCTCCTTGGGCTCAGGGTTTCCGGAATCGGCCAGTTGGTGGCCTCCTGTCCTCCCGGCGGGGCGCCATGGCGGGCCCGGGCCCTGCCGCCGAGACCAGCAGGTGGCACAGGCATCGGGGGCGGCCAAGAGGGGGGTGATGACCAGGGAGGGGTCCTCCTCCTCCTCCTCCTCCACCTCCTCTTCCTCTCCTCCTCCTCCTCCTCCTCCTCCTCCTCCTCCTCCTCCTCCTCCTCCTTCCTCCTCCTCCTCCCTCCTCCTCCTCCTCCTCCTCCTCCTCCTCCTCCTCCTCCTCCTCCTCCCCTCCTCCCCCTCCCCCTCCCCCTCCCCCCCCTCCTCCTCCTCCTCCTCCTCCTCCTCCTCCTCCTCCTCCTCCTCCTCCTCCTCCTCCTCCGGTGATGACTAGGGAGGGGTGGATATCATGGCGGGGCCATGATATCTCCCCAGATTTCATGGCGCCTCTTCTTATTTCCTTACGTTCCCGCCCCCCCCCCTGGGCCCGCGCACATGCCGCCAGCCATGATTTGGGCCCCCCTCCCCCCTTGGACGCCCCCCTCTTTGGCCGCCCCCGAAGGCACGACTGGGACGCGGTGCTGTCGGGAGGCGCCACCGCGGACCGCTACTTTGCGCGCCCGGGCCTCATCCGAAAGGACTGGATTCCTCTGGATGGTCTCCCTCACTCACCCAGCGTCCCAGACCCCCTCGCGTTTCGAAAAGAAACGCGACGGGAGGTTTTTCGCTATTTGCTGCCTCCAGGGGCCCTCACCAGGCCCCTGGACCGTCAAAAAACCATTCAGGATGAAGAACCGGTCCCGGGGAAGGGGCCCAGACCTCTGGGGGTCGCCGTTACCCCCCCCCCCCCCCAAAAAAAAACGACGTGGGGGGTCTGGGAACGTTGCAGTTTGTTCGCGACGACACCAGAGATCCACCGCTATCAAAAAATCACGACGTCGTGGGTCTGGGAGCGTTGCAGTTTGTTCGCGACGACGCCTGAGATCCAGGCGTGGCAGGCGTTTCACTCCGGGCGTTTCCGCCCGGCTTCGGGCCCCATGGCCCCAGGGCACCATCGCAGATCGAGCTGGGCCAGAAAGCGCCACAGAAAGATTCAGGAGGGAAAAAACACACAGACACAATTAATCGTCGACTCCCAGAAAATATGGGGAAAGATGGGGGATCCGGTTACTTGTGTGCATTTATTTGTGTGTCCCAGGGCCCCTTCATGATGGGGTCTGGAGCTCCACTCGCGATGTATCACGATGTTGTATTTTTGTTGCTGGACGTCGGATCTCGAGGTCGGCTTCGGGGACTCGACCGCTTCCCCAGGGCCGCCGTTTCCTCAGTTGTTGTACCTTTTTTTCCGGGGGGGGGGGCAGGAAACAGCACGCAGGGGCAGGGGAACGACGACAAATCGGCCGTCACGGTTTCATGCGACGGCCGGATCTGAGGTTCGGTCTTCCAGTCGGGTTTCGGGCAGCCGTTTGGGACGATTCTGGGCTCCAATGGACGGCTCAAGGAGGGGGCGCAGCCGATTGAGAACATCCTTGGCCCGATTAAAGAACATCCTGGGCCCGAAAAAACTCAAGGAATCCATGAGGAGCTTCGAAGATATCCGAAAATCTCAGCAGCAGCACAGTGGCCACACCAGAGAAGAGCCTAGCATGCCGGCGGGAGCCGAACGAGAAACACACATGTCCCGAAGGGCATGGGGACCGCCGGGGGGGCACCTTACGAAGCTGAAAGTCGACGAAGGATGTGCCCTGGGAATGTTTTTAATACCAATGTTAAGTCGGGCCTGTCCCTTTACAGGAGGGTTTTAAAAATGAAAAGAATAAAAGGTAAAATTCAAAAAATCGTCAGGGACTATGTTTCTATTATATATACACACTTATTTGGGAATATTTGACTACTTTTCAGCTGTCCTCCAAAATCCGCCCGTAGGAGGACATGCCCGGCCTAAGACCAATGTTTCTGCTCATGGCGCCCCAGGCCCACAACGCATCATTTTTGTTGCCAAAACGTGGAGCCCCGAGATCTGACCCCCCCCCTCCTGGGGAATGTTCACCTTCATGCAGGGTATATGTGCTGCCGCCCCGGGGAAACAAACATTTCGAACATTGCCAGCAACTAAGAGAAAAGAAACAACAAAAAATGTTATGTGCTGACTGTTGTTCATGCTGCGAGGGGGGCTGGGGCAGTAGAGGACCGGCCCGCCAGCTCCGTGGTCAATCGCGTGCGCACAGCAGAAGGCTGGTCCGCCGACTGTGCCCATTCCCTGTTCCGTGGCTGAGCGCCTGCAGTAAATTTACAGTGGGAACCCATGCCAAGAAACACCCTGCTTGCCTCCAGGGTGCCCTGCGTTTCTTGGATTTCAAAGGTTTTCCGATGGAAAGCGCGACTTGCCCGCACCAGAAATCAATGGACGTTCTGGGGTCCCAGGTTGGGGTTTCTTGTGGAAGGTTTCTCGTGGTCGAGCTCCTATTGCACCCCATCAGAGAACAGGCGGCGTGCTCTGTTCGAGGCATGGGCCCCTGGACCTCTCGACCCCCCCACTGGGGCCAGCTTCCCCCCCTGCGCCGTTTCTCGACGACCCCAGGGCGCGGCAGCTGGCTTCCAGAGCGCCACAGTGGATGGAGTAAGAATCCGCCGCCTCGGTTTTCGTCAGGCCGCCGGACCCAGGCCTCCCGCGTCGTGATTTGTTGTTGACAGCGCAGAGCCCAAAGGCCTCGACCCTGCCCCTGGGATCCCCAGCGTCTCCTCCCGAGCCGATGTCCGACGGCCTCGAGGGGCCGCCTCGGAGGACGAAGGGCGCCAAACATGCACAGTCACTACTACTACTACTACTACTACTACTACTACTACTACTACTACTACTACTACTACTACTACTACTACTACTACTACTACCACGACTACTGTCGAGCCGCCGAAGAAGGGCGCCTTCTCGGTGGGAAGGGGCTTAGTGTTCCTTCATTATTTTGCAGCTCGTCTTAGGGTTTCCTTAGGTTCTCTATTGGGACATCGAAGGTTAACTCATGAAAAAAAACGGCCTGGTTCCTGATCTAGGATTCCTGAGGACAGCGCTTCAACGATATCGCCTCAGACATCAGTCTTCGTGCTCCAGAGGCCCCGACACCTTCACCAGGGCAGTTCCTTGCCCTGGACTCTTTCTGTTGGTCGTCCCGGGGCCCGATCACGGGCCAGGAGGCCGACATCGAGAACAAACGAGGGGATTGAAAACACATATCGCCAGGTATCTGGGTTTGGGACAGCACTTGGATCACCGCAGTGGGTGTTAAGTGGATAGCGGGGTTAGAAGTGGATGCCAAGGTGGGTTACACTTGGCCATGACCTATAAGTGGACTGCATAAGCCCTACGTGGTTCAGGTGGTTCAACAGCTCCGCTACGTCGGCGGAGCCCTCCTAGCCCAGATCTGTACCCCTGTAAAACAGTTAGGGCATTTGCAGCCCAGTCGTAAGCCAGGCACGACCAGATACATCCCACCTTAGCACCCACTACTCTAACCTTCTATTCACTTAGCACCCCCCGCGGTCATTCAAGAGATCCGATGTATTGTTTGTTCAATACTGGTTCTCCTGAAGTCCTGGCCATGTCCCCATGGTTTTGCATCCGGAAGCGTGGCTTGACGGCCCTTGGGACCCTGCGAGGGCCCCCAGGGGCCCACAACGACGAAAGACCTCCGTGCCGAGTCTTGCGTTACCCTGAGATCCGACGTTGCGAGAAACTTGCAACTTCGTAAAAATCACGCCTAGAACCCCCCGACCCCACCTTCCAGCGCCAACTTTCGAGCGGGATCGATCCGTGAGGGCCCTGGGGCTCAAAAGTTGCGGCAGCACGCCCCTGTCGTGCACAGAAGGGCAACGCCAGGACCTCGGGGTGCACGCTGAAGCGCTGGGCCCGCGACAGCCGAGGACCGCCTCGCCGGCTTCGCCCCGCCGGACAGGCACCCGGCCACCGCGGCGGCCTCGTCCTTCGCGGAGCTCCGCGCCGCGCTCTTCCGGCTCGGCGTGCGCTCGTCCGAGGCGGCGGGGCGCGGCGAGGCGGCGCCGGACCCGGCCTGCGTGCAGTTCGTGCTCAAGAAGGCGCGACGGCGTGCCCAGCTCTCCCGTGTCGGGTTCTCGTTTTGAAGGGAGCACCGTCTGCTCCGTTCCTCCTTCCCTCCATCCTTCCACCAGCCTCCTCCTCCCCCACCCTTCCTCGCCCTCCCCCTCCTCCTCCTCCTCCTCCTCCCTCCTCCTCCTCCTCCTCCTCATCTCCTCCTCCTCCTCCTCCTCCTCCTCCTCCTCCTCCTCCTCCTCCTCCTCCTCCTCTTCCTCCTCCTTGAGCTTCCCTGCAGCGCTCCGTGCTTCCAGACCTCCTGGATTGGGTCGGAGTAGTGAGCTGGGTTTGGGGGTTCGCGCCGCATCGCCGATGCATCGCCGATGCGGCTCGATGTGAAGCCCGATGTGCTGCACGTCGATGTCGCCGATGCATCGCCGATGCCGACGATGCATCGCCGATGTATCGGCGATGCGGCGCGATCCTCCGACCCTATCTACTCCGACCCCATCCAGGAGGCCTCTAGTGGTGCCTCGGGCGGCCCTTGTTGGGGCTCTCCTGGGACCCTCTTGGGCTGTCCTTTTGTCCCGCCAGGCTCCCTCTGTCCCGCATCCCCTCCTTCGCTGAGGAGGGGGGGGGGCGCGGTCCTTTGCCTGCCAGGTTTGTGGCCCTCTCGCGGGGGGCCTTCCTCCTCCTCCTCCTCCTCCTCCTCCTCCTCCTCCTCCTCCTCCTCCTCCTCCTCCTCCTCCTCCTCCTCCTCCTACTCCTCCTCCTCCTCCTCCTCGTCCTCCTCCTCCTCCTCCTCCTCCTCCTCCTCCTCCTCCTCCTCCTCCTCCTCCTCCTCCTGGCGGGGGGGCCACACGCGATGGGCTCGACAGCGTCGCCCTTGAGCGCGCCCACACCTCCAACGCCTTGGACAACAAGCAGGACGGAGGCTCTTCACTGTCCTCGGCATCTGGAGGGCCTCCCGCCTGGCCCCAGGACCGTCCAGAGACGGCTCGGGGTGGAGAGCCCGCCTCAGGGTGAAGTCGGGCCTGTCCCCCTACAGGAGGGAGATGCAGAAATAGTAAAAAATAGTTTGGGGACTATTTTTGGAGCACTTTTGAGAATTTCTATGGTTTTTTGGGGTATTCTTAATTTTTCGTCCAGGATCGGCCTGTAGGGGGACAGGCCCGACTTCACCTCAGGGAGAGGATCGTGGACCCCGCTTTCAATCGAAGAAGAAGAAGAAGAAGGACCCCCCCCCCCCAAAAAAAAAACGCCATCAACATGAACTTTTGGCGCTCCGCGCGGACTTCTTGGATCCGTGCTGGGCCCCCCCGGCGGCGCCTCCGGCGCCGCCCCCGGCGCGATCCGCGCGCCAGGGAGAGGGGGCCCAGCGCGGATCCGAGACATCTGCGCGGCGCGCCGGATGTTTGCGCGCCTGGCGTGTTTTTGTGTTGTCCTTCTTCTGCCGAAACAGAGCTGGAAGAGCGTACAGCCGGGGCCCTGCAGAAGGAACCCTTTTCGTTGGGGAGGGGCTCGGTGTTCCTTGATTGCTTCACAGTTTGCCTTGGGTTTTCCTTTGGTTTTCGATGGGACATCGAAGTTCAACTTGTGGATGAAAGGGGCCTCGTTCCTTATTTAGGGTTCCTTAGGTCAACGCCCCGACTGTACAGTGCCGTTTTTGATACACGCTCCGCGTGCGGATGATGAATTAAAAAATGCAGGGATCTGGTATTAAAACAACGATGAGTTCATGCATACATTTATTCATACATCAATCGTGTATTGAAAGTCCTATATGTTTAAAAATCCTATGTATTAGAAGCTGCCCTGTGCGGTATCCGTGTGCGCCTGCGTTTTCGCCCGGATGCCTGGCGCCTTCGCGCCCCGTGTCTGCGCCCGGGCTCGGGCCCTGTGGGGCCGCAGCACGCGTCGGCGTGGCTCGAGAGAGGCAGCCGGAAGAGGCGGCGCAGGGCTCTCGCCGTGGTGGGCCACAGCGTTGCACCCTCTCGGCATGTCGGATCCCAGGGCGCAGCTAGCCGTCCTCGCGCGGTGAGAAATCACGACGGAAGCTCTTCGGCGGTCCCCGGGGAGGGATCTCCCGACTTTTTTTGGCGTTGCGGCGAGAGTTCACGGCGCCGGATGCTTGGCCTCAGCGGACGTTCTCGCCTGGTTTGAGGCCCTGGGGCACTCGAAGGGTCCATCCGGCCAGAGGAGCGCCGCAGAGAGTTGTGTCCCTGGGCTCCGGTCGTATCTTGCTTGTCCCGCGATGCTACACTTTCCCCGCGTCGTCAGATCTCCAGACAAGGGGCCAATTCTGGCAGGGCCAGGGCCGGGGAAAAATTCGTTCCAGGGCTCATCTGGAGCGCTCCCAGCGCGTCCCAGAACGCTCTGGAAACCGCCGCGGCGCCCGATGCGTCCTCCAGAACCATCGGGGGTGGACAGACCTCCTACCCTGACACGTCGATGAAGGAATTGGCCGTTTTCGGTTCGAGAGAGGGCGTCGCGGCCGTCATTGTTGCGGGTCCAGGTCCGTCGGTTTCGGTCCCAGGCCGTTTTCACTAAGGGGAGGTCTACTAAAGAGAGGTTTGTCCACCGCCAAAACCACCAGATTTCAGAGCTCCCTGATGCATCTTGGTCGGGCTTTGTCCGGGTCCTGGCGTGGTCTTGCCAGGCAACCCGAGGGCTCGAGGGCTCGAGCACGCAGGGTCGAGCTTGTCGCGGCGCGCCGCCCGCCCGCTTGGCCGTGCCTCCCGGCGGCCTCCTCGCCGCCGCGGCGGGGGTGTCCCCTGCGGCGTGCTGGCCGGCAGGGGGGAGGAGCGAGGCATCGCTGCGCCTCGTTCCGCGGCCCTCCTCCTCCTCCTCCTCCTCCTCCTCCTCCTCCTCCTCCTCCTCCTCCTCCTCCTCCTCCTCCTCCTGCGCGCGCAGGGGGGCGGCGGGAGGAGGGGCCCTTGTGAGAAGGCGGGGAGGATTCCAAGCAGTCAGGGGCCCTCTGTGAAGCGCCCAGATGCTCATGAGAAGGCTTCTTCTCCGGGCGCTTCTAGGAGGGCGCCTGCCGTCTAAGAAGCTTCCCTGCCTCCTTAGAAGACCCCCCCCCCCTCGCGAAACTCCCTTCTGCGCGCCGCCAACTTACTTCCTCCCCCTCTTGGCTATTGCAACGTGGAGTCCCTGTCTCATCGGTCGGAAAGCTGGCGCTTTTCACTCCGAGCTGGCGTGGCATGGTAGTGATGGTTTAAAGCAACTGGAAGCGTTTCCCGGCGTGGACCCAAAACAATCAGTGATTGCATTGCGGATGTGCAAGCAATGTGATACAGGCTATGAGGTGCAAGCTATATCGTGCAAACTCTGTCGTGCAAGTTATGTGGTGCAAGCGATGTGGTGGAAGCAACGGCGTGCAGTTGAAAAGTGACGGTCCGCCTGCCTCCCTCCTCATCCTCCTGCTCATGCTCCTGGTCATCCTCCCCCTCCTCCTCCTCCACCTCCTCCTCCTCCTGTCTCTCCTCCTCCTCCTCCTCACCCTGTTTCTCCTCAATTCCTTTTCCTTCTGTATAATGTCTCCCTGTCGCTCCCCGAGGCCAGTTTAAGCGTTTCGCATGAGACCTCCTCACCATGTATGACCCTGAAGCTTTACAATGGGCAACATTTTCAGAGATGGAGGGCGGGTCGTTTTCAAACTGTGGCTCTCGCCTTAGCGCGGCGCACATTCGTTTTTAACAGTTGTAAGAGTTTTACGGATTGAGGGCGACCCGCTTTCAAATTTTGGTTCTCGCCTCAGCCCCCGCGCACAGTCGTCTTAAAAGTTGCAAGGGTTTTACGGAGTGAGGAATGGTCGTTTACAACATGTGTCTCTCGCTTCAGCGCCGCGCACATTCGTTTTAGCAATTTGCAAGAGCTTCACGGATTGAGGGCGGCTCCTTTTAGCAATGTGGCTCTCGCTTTAGCGCCGCGCAAGTTCTTTAATACAGTTTGCAAGAGGTCCACGGATTCCCATCATCACCGTACCAGAAATTGTATGTTGAAAGGATGCAGGAGCATGCGGGTACAACAATTTCGTTGATTCGTTGTGTTGAATTCCCAGGAATGGCGTGCTGGCAAGATTCAGGATCGTCAAGATGCAACAGTCAGGTTGATCCGTGGCGTTGGAATCCCGAGAACAATGTTTTGGCATGCTTCAGGGTTTTCAAGCGGTTGTCTTCCAACGAGGCAGTTCCCTCAATGGAAATGAACCGCTGCAGAGGCTTATGAAGAGGGAGCTTGGAGGGATGGTTGATTCCAAAATCGTTGATGACTCTTGGGTTTACACTGGTCCTCCTCCTCCTCCTCTTCCTGCCTCTCCTCCTCCTCCTCCCTCCTCCTCCTGCTCCTCCTGCTCCTCCTCCTCCTCCTTCTCCTCCTCCTCTTCCTCCTCCTCCTCCTCCTCCTCCTCCTCTGCTCACCCTGCTCCTGCTCCACCCTGCTCCCTCATCCTCATCCCTCTCCTCATCCTTGGGGGCCCCGACCCCCCTCGCGCCGTGAGACCCAAAGGCGTTGGCAACTTTTGGTAACTGTCGCCCTCCAGGTCGGGCTGGACGACAGGATAGGATAGGGAATGGGAGGGTTACGAAATCTGCTGCACGCAGCTGCCTTCCGCCCCGCCGCCGGGCCCGCTCCTCGATACACGGGCGCCTCGGGGCGCCGGGAGGCGCCAGGAAAAAACCGGCTTCGGGAGCTGATTCTCTATCCCACTCTCTGCTATCCTGCCCTCCCCAGACCCCCGACGACATGATTGCGTCGTGACGCGCCCCTCTCTCTGCCATCCTGCCCTTCCCAGACCCCCGACGTCGTGACTGCTTCATGACGCGCCCCATCACAAGTCTGGACCCTCTCCTGGGGACGGGTTGTTCATCCCGACCTGTTTTTGGACGGTCCCGAGGCCCAGCGGGGGCCCCTGGAGGCAGGAAAGAGAGCAAAGCCTCCCGTCGCGGTGTGTCTTCGCGACGCCAGGGGGGGGTCTGGGCTTGCGCCCCCCCCCCACAGGGGCCCGTCCCTGGCGGTCTGTGCTCCCCTCTTTCTCGGGCGCGTCCCCCTACTATACAGGGGGGTTTTGGGCGAAAGACAAAAAGCAGTCAGAAAAGATCCAAAAAGAGCCAAACAAAAGATCCAAAAAATCGCTCCCTGGCCATCTTTGAACTATTTTGGGGCACTCCTCATGTAGAGGGACACGCCCGACCTACACGCTGGTCGTTGAAAGTAGGTATTTTTGGATTCCCAGATCCCAATCTACTTCAAGCGCGTTCCTACTTCAAGAATCGGCACGCTTTTGCTCTGTTTTGTTATTGACCCAATCAACTTCATCCGCCTTCCTGCTTCATGTTTTTACCTACTCCTTCCGACCGACGTGTAACCCCAGCGCTCGTCGACCCCCGTCGCCCGGGCCTCCTCGGACAGCGGGGGCCCAGACGGCCCAGGCCCCCTCGCGCCGCGAGGAGCAGCTGCGCGCCGCGAGGGGCCCTCTGCGCAAGCTTTGGCCTCCGGGGGGGCCCGCCCCCGGCCCCGGGGTGCCTTCCATAGGGGAACAGAAAGTGACGTAAACGTAGAACCTCGGAGGTCCGCGCGGATTCCTCGGATCGGCGCTGGACCCCCCTCCCTGGCGCGCGGAGCGCGCCAGGGGCGGCGTTGGAGGCGCCGCCAAGGAGCCCCAGCGCCGATCCGAGAAATCCGCGCGGACCTCCGAGTTTTTATGTTTATGCCACTTTTTGTTCCCCCAGGGCTCGGGCTGCCAGGCCGCGGCCCCGTGCTTGGCATCGCTCGGGCGTGTGCATTTCTTCGCGGCGAGAACCATCGAGGACCCTCCTGGACGATCGAGCAAAAACAAAAAGAATCACGCACGAGACCGAAAAATGCACGGGACATGGACGTCCGACGGCAAGCGTGGGGCAGGCGCCCAGAGACTGCCTGAGACCCTGGCGTGGCAATCTTTTCACGACGGGCCTTTTGTGCGCGGCCTGTCGGGCCCCCAGGACCTTCCCAGAGCGATCCGGCTCGAACATTGGCTTGGTATCGCTCGGACCTGTGCATTTTCTCTCGGCGGGGACTATTCTGGAGCATCCTGGAGCATCCTGCGTCAAAAAACCACGCACGAAACCGCAAAAAGGCACAGGGAATAGACGTCGGAGCGATGGCCAGGCGCAGCAAGGTGGGGTCTATAGGAGGAGGGGGAGGAGGAGAAGGAGGAGGAGGAGGAGGAGGAGGCAGAGGAGGAGAGGAAGGAGGAGGAGGAGGGAGGAGGAGGCAGAGGAGGAGGAGGAGAGGAGAGGAGGAGGAGGAGGAGGAGGAGGGAAAGGAGGAAGAGGAGGAGGAGGAGGAGGAGGAGGAGGAGGAGGAGGAGGGCTATAGGGCTCTGGGCGCAAATTCGCACAATACCCTGCGATGTCCCCGCAGCGGCGGGTCTCCGGGGACCTCGGCGGCCCCCTCCCTGCGACGAGAGCACGACGGGGGGGCGTCTGGGAGGTGGCCCCGGGCGGCGTGTAGCCGCCCGGCGGGCACCCGGGAAGGCCGCGGGGGGCCTCGCAGGGGCGCCCCTTGGCCCAGGGGCCTCCTCTCGGAGTCCTGCGCCCGGCCCTTCTGCGCAGGCCCGTGCCTTCCCTAGGGGAAGAAGAAGTTCGACTAGACGTAAAAGTGACCCTTCGCCGGAGTGACCTTCGGTGCGGGCACAGGAGCAACCTTTCGCCGTAAGAGTGACCTTTCGCCGGGTCCCCAGATGGTTGAAGACGAAGCAGGAGCAACGGCTTGCGCTCCCAGGTTTGGTCCCCCCGCGGCCCCCCAAAAAGCCGCGCACCAAAGGTCACTCTTATCCAGGGTGGCTCTTGCGCGTAGCCCAAAAGTGACGTAAACATAAGACCTCGGAGGTCCGCGCGGATTTCTCGGAGCGGCGCTGGACCCCCCTCCCTGGCGCGCGGAGCGCGCCAGGGGCGGCGCCGGAGGCGCCGCCGGGAGCCCCAGCGCCGATCCGAGAAATCCGCGCGGACCTCCGAGGTTCTATGTTTATGTCATTTTTTGTTTCCCCATTCCATGAGAGCTTGCCCTCCTCAGAAGGCCGCCCTCCGCGATCGCGCCAGCCCGCTCCCCAGAGATCCAACGCATTAAACAGGGGCTCCCACGAGGGCGCGAAGTTCGTCGCGCTTCGCGCTTCGCGGGCCTCATTACTCCTCCCCCTCCTCCTCGTCCTCCTCTTCTCCCCTTTGGGGGCGGCGCGAGAGCGCGAAGTTGTTCGCGCTTCGCGCAGAGCCCTAGCTTGTTTTAAAGAAAAAACGCGACTGTGGTTTTTCACAGTTTTCGGCCTCTGGGGGCCCTCGCCGGGCCTCGTGACCGTCAGAAAACGACGCAGGATGAACAAACCGGTCCTGGGGAATGGGTCGAGACTTCCGGGGACCCCGCCTTGAAAAAAATCACGACGTCGGATCTCTGAGTCGTTGCCGCTGCCACGAGGCACACTCCTCGAACGCCTCGGGCATCCGCTTCCTGACCGGCGCCGACGCCCAGGCGGCCGCCCCGGTGTGCAGCAGGGGCCCATCGAGGGAGAGCGGAGCCCGGCGGAGGCTCGTCGCCCTTCGGGGCCTCTCGGGGCCCTATGCACTTCCTGGGTCTGCCCAGGCCGACGCCCGGCGGGCCGCCAAGAAGCGGGCCGCTCCAGGACGAGCGGGCTGCGGGGGAGCCCGCTCGGGGGTGTCCAGCACCCGTCCCCGCGGAACTCCCGCCGCCGTCGCCGTCGCCGCCGCTGTCGTCGCCGCCCCCGCCGTCGCCGTCACTGCCGCCGCCGTCGCCTTCACCGTCGCCCCCGCCGTCGCCGCCGTCCGCCGCCGGCTCGCGGCGGCAGGACCCTGAGATCCGACGCGACGTTGCGAAACAAGTGTCCCGGAACGCTAGATCCCACCTTTTTGCGTCAGTTTTCGAGCCCGATCGATATGTCAGGCCAAGAGGGGGGTGATGACTAGGGGGGCTATCATGGCGGGGGCCATGACATCTCGTCAGATTTCACGGCGCCTCTTCTTATATTTCGTTACGTCCCCAGCTCCCCCCCCCTTGGGCCGCGCACGTGCTGCCGGCCATGAATTGCGCCCCCCCCTCTTGGACGCCCCCCCTCTTGGCCGCCCCCGAAAAACGCGACAAATCCCGCCGTGAAACAAATTGCAACGCAAGGATCTCAGGAGAGGTGCCGCGCCGCCCGCCGCCGCCGCCCGCCGCCGCCGCCGCTGCCGTCGCCGCCGTTGCCGCCGGCGGCTCGCGGCAGCGTAATTAGGCGTAAGTCGTGCTGGTCCCTCTACAGGAGGAATGCGCAAAGCCAGTCAAGAAAAAATGTGGGGACGACGTGTCCCGTAGTTGTTTACCTTTTTGTTGCGCATTTTCTGGGGGGTACGTCTTATTTGGCTCCCGAACCTGCCCGTGGGACATGCCCGACCGAAGCGCAGGCGGTGCTCGCGGCGGCCCCCAGCGGCGCAGGGCCGCACGAGGGCCGGGTCCGGCCCGCCCCCGCGCGGCTCGCCTGCGGGGCGGCGGCGGCCGCAGCCGCCGCGGCGGCGCTCGCCCTGGCGGCGCGGCGCGGCGCGCGCGGAGCCGTCGGAGGCACCGATCCCGGGGAGACTTTCTCCTCCTCCTCCTCCTCCTCCTCCTCCCTCCTCCTCCTCCTCCTCCTCCTCCTCCTCCTCCTCCTACTCTCCCTCCTCCTCCTCCTCCTCCTCCTCCTCCTCCTCCTCCTCCTCCTCCTCCTCCTCGGAGACTTGCTGGCGCGCTTCGATTTTTTCAGGGCGGGCGCTCTTTCGCCTCTGCTCGGGCCCCGGGGCCCTCGCAGATGGACCCGGCGCGAAAAAGGGCCCAGGGAGGTGGAGTCCAGGGCTCCGGGTGTGTGTTTGCGTATGACGCTGCACTTTTGTTGGCGGATTTTAGGGGTTCGATACTTTGGGAGCGGGGCGTCTTCGCCCGGTGATCGGGCCCAGCATCGTTCGTGGGGCGGCGTTCTGCTGCAGCCCGGCGGGCAGCCGTGGAGCGGTATGTGGCGATCACCCTGCGAGGCCACGGCATGTGTGCTCTCTGTGTCTGCACTCAGCTTTGTCTCTCTCCCTCTCTCTCTCTCTCTCTCTCTCCCCCGGGACCCTCACGGGTCGATCCGGCACGAAAAATGGCGCAGAAAGATTGGGTCTAGGGTTATGATGTTCCGTTATGATGTTCCAACCTGCTTTAGCCTTGATCACCAGACAGAATTTCGAGCGCCAAGAAAGCACCGAAGATGAAAGGCTTTCGCGTGTCGAGCCCTGGGAGGCGATACTCGTTCGACACTGTTTTGACACTGTTCTGGGTGCTCGAAACTATTTTTGGGATGTGGTCTGTAAGCACGGTGGGAGAAGCAGAAGTCTGGGGCTCCCGTCGTCCGCGCGCCGTCGGATCTCAGAGATCGGCGGCCCCTGCGGCGGCCCCTTCGCTCGTCGTTTCGCCCGAGAGGCGAGCTCGGTGCCCGCCGTGCGGCAGCGCTGGCGGTGGCCGGGGCGGCGGGGGTGCTGGCCGCGGCCGCGCTGGTCGGAGGGGATCGTACACCTGTGAGGATGGGCAAATTTTCCACCACTAGTACCGTTCGTAGGACGGGGGAGAAGGAGGTCTTCCTCCTCCTCCTCCTCCTCCTCCTCCGCCTCCTCCTCCTCCTCCTCCTCCGCCTCCTCCTCCTCCTCCTCCTCCTCCTCCTCCTCCCTCTCCTACCTCTGGTAGTGGTGGTGGGAAATGGGCCCATCATCGGAGGTTGATTCGGCGGCGGGCGAGGGGGGGAAGTGGAAAGGAGAAGACCTGCTCAGAAGGCGGCGGGACTTCTCGAGAGCCCTCGCGCCTTCTAAGAAGTGCTCTGTGTGTCTTCGGGACTCGGAGCCTTCTGAGAAGGCTCGGGGACTTCCGAGCCTTCTGAGAAGGCCCGCCCCTTCTCTCGAAGAAGAAAAAAACGTCATCTACAAAAGTTTCGACGCTTCGCGCGGATTTCTTGGATCCGCGCTGGGGCCCCCTGGCGGCGCCTCTGACGCCGCCGCTGGCGCGCTCCGCGCGTCAGGGAGGGGTGTCCGGCGCAGATCCAAGAAATCCACGCGGACCGTCCAAAGTTTATGTTTATAGCGTTTTTGCTGTTTTAGAGAAGGCCCGCCTTTTCGCACTTCCCCCCCTCGCTCGCCGCCGAATGCTCCTCGGAGGTTGATAGGACCCTCACACCCTGCCAAGTCCATGGATCAGGGAGTTGCTCTTTTCTCGGTGCTCGAGAGAGGGTGGCGCGGCCGCATTTTGGTGTGGGCTGTTGTGCCCGCTGAAAGTGGCCCTGGGTAGTTTTCACTTTTCGAGTAGGAGATCGACTACAAAACTGATTTAACCGCATACCCCGGAGAATCAATCATCCCCACCCCCCTTTCACCCCTGAGATTTGATTATCTCCTGCCAAGACAGAGATGGTCGGGACATATCGCGTGCGACTTCCCTGGACATATCGTTTATCATCCCCCCGGGACCCCGAACTTTCTTATCCCCTGGGTGTTGTTATCAGGGGCACAGGGTTATCCCAAATTGATCTTTTCGCCGAATATACGAAACGATAAGTTTCGAATGCTTGCAGTAGATCTGCGATCATGCTACGTATCTCGTTGTAGAGTCTATGAAAATCCACGGGCGCCCTCGAGGGCGCGAAGTTATTCGCGCTTCGCGGTTCGGCTCCGATTCCCCATCATCCTCCTCTTCTCCCTTGGGAGGCGGCCCGAGAGCGCGAAGTTCTTCACGCTTCGCGCAGCGCGAAGCGCGAAGTTGGGGGATCCCTTTGATAAATTCTGCAGCTGATCTCCTACTCGAACTGTAGGGAGCTCTGCTCACCCGCGACACGCCACGACCGATCGGTCGGCCAGGAGGGCCCCAGGGCTCGGCGGGGCGGGTCTCGGCGAGGCATCCCGAGGCAGGGGCACCGAAGACTCCCGAGATCCTAGGCAGGGGCGCCCTCGAGGGCGCGAAGTTGTTCGCGCGTCGCGCTTCGCGGTCCTCCTCCTCCTCCTCCTAGCCTCCCCTCCTCCTCCGCCTCCTCCCGATTCTCGCTCGCGCAGCGCAAGAGCGCGAAGTGGGGAGCCCTTGCTTTAGGAGGGTGGGGCGTCTGTGAGCGCCGTCTCCTCCGCCGTCGCAGCGCGTAGCGCTGGCCCCTGGGGATCTCGACCAGGACTGGCTTGTCATCCCGGGTCGCTTTTGACGGCCCTGGGGCCAGGAAGCGGCCTCCAGATGACGAGAACGTAGGAGAACTGCATGGATCTGAGGGCTGAGGGCCTTAGCCGACCAGGCAGCCTGGTTCACGATCAGGAGCTTTTGCTTTGCGTGTCGCGCCGCCGGTTCTGGCCCACCACGCTTCGGCGCCACGCGCTGACCACTTCCAAGGTCCCAGGCATTGATGTCCCGAGCTCTTCCTAGCCTCACGCCCCACGGAGCTGAGCGACACTTGATTAGCTCGCAGGGCACAGCGTGTCGCCGAGGCCGCCGCCAGGACACACTAAGCAGCAGTTCCTGACCTCGGTACGATCGACAGGGGTACGGAAAGCATGGGGGCGAAGATTGACAGCAGCACCTGCCCACCGGGAACCAGACTTAACGTCGGTGTCGGTGCGGACGTCGCCCACGTGCAACAACAAAGTCGCCTTCTCAACAGCGGCCGCCGCCGGTGTTGGACAACAAGTGCCGTTGGGCATCGTACCCGTTCGTGTTCCGCACCCATCCCGGGCGTGCTACAGTCGGGGCGCTGAAGAAGGAACCCTTTTCGTTTGGGAGGGGCTCAGTGTACCTAAGTTGTTTTGCAGCTCGCCCTAGGTTTTTCTTAGGTCTTCGATCGGAATTCGAAGCTTAACTTATGGAGAAAAGGGGCCTCGTTCCTTATTCAGGGGTTCCTTAGGTCAACGCCCCGACTGTACTACGGTCCAGAACTTTGGCTTGGCGTGTCGCTTCGCTGGCTCGGGCCAGCCGTGCCTGGGCGCGACACGCTGTAGGCGCACGCCCCTTGTCCGAAGCGGCAGCGTCCCGAGCCTCTCCGAGCCGGCCGCCCCGCAAGGCGGGGCGACACACATGTTCCGCCTGCAGGGCACCCAGACCCCCGACGTCATGATCTGTTGCGAAGGGGCACATTGCCAAGTACCTTCTGTAGGCTTCAATCATACTTCAAAGATGCCTCTAGAGTGCTAAGCCATGATTAAAACAGGTTTCGACCATGTTCAAAACATGTAGAAGACATGAATAAAACATGTTCAGAGTGGCATGGAGAAACTTGTTTACCACCACATGCATCAGACATGTAGACCGGTTAGAGTGCTCAGTGTCATGGCATCCACGAGGTGTTTCATTACGAGGCGTTGTTTGACGGTCCCGAGGCCCGCTAAGGGCCCCCAGAAGTTGAGAATGAGGAAACACAACCCTTCTGTCGTGCTCTGTTCATGACTGGAGGAGGTATGGGCGTGACACGCTGAGCAGCGGTTCCTGACCGTAGACCGCACACCCTCCGCTTCGCCACGGCGACGACGACGACGACCACCACGACGACGACGACCACGACGACGACGACGACCACCACCACCACGACGACGACGACGACGACGACGACGACGACGAGCTCCTCCCAGCTGGGCGGCGGCATCCTCCGCTGCGAGGGCGCGCGGGAGCCCCGCCGCGCGGAGCCCCGGGGCGCGGCGGCGGGCGAGCTGAGGCGGCTGCTGGGGCCGGCCGCGGGGGAGGAGGAGCTGGGCAGGGCGGCGGCCACGCGGCAGCGGTCGGCCACGCGCGGAGGGCCATAGAGAGAGAACGAAAGGCCCCCGTGGCCCTGAGAGCACGGCGAAGACGTGCACGCTGCTCATGTCTAAGTCTTCGGAGATTCCTTGGTTTTTGCGAGGGGCCAGGAGCCTTTCATTGCTAACGGTTCTCTCCTGGGCCTCCTCCTGGCCACTGGGGGGCCAGGAACAGTCAGAAGCGAGCAGAGCCAGAAAGGAGCACGACTAGAGATGAACGACGGGCAGCCTCGCCGAGGTACCCGTCTCTGCACCAGGGAGAAAAGTTCGGGGTGGTTTGGTTCGATGCCTCTGCAGAAGGGACCTCCTGCCCCTGATGCTCCGGGCCTCTTAACTTCAGGTCCGCTCCCAAAGGGTCAAATAGGGGTACTCCGACTGCCTATCGGAGGGGGGAACGGGAGGAGGGCAGGCTTCTTGGAAGCACCCCCTGCTTCTCAGGAGGCGCGGGCCCCATCTGCAGATGTCGGGCCAGCGCCTTCCAAGAAGCAGCTTTCTGAGAAGTCTTCCCCCCTCCCCCATGCACCCTTGTGCGCGCCGCCGATGTGTGATAACATGGTGGAGCATGTGACTATTGTCCCTCCCTGTCCGTGCTCGCAGGAATGCAAGATCATCCTGCCGTGCTCCTAGTCGAGAGTGGTCCAAGTTTCATCCTGCATGGGTCCCAGTATGCACCTTTTGCTATGGTGGCGACGGTAGGGTCCGTCGAGAAACAACTGGCGGCGGTACGGTCCGCAGAGAGATTTGAAGCGAGCATCTGACGAAGAAGCCTTCTTCCGACAAGCTGGGCAAGCGTTCCTCAGCCAATTGGCCGGAAAGTTGGCTTCGTTTGCAGAGCACGTTCGCCCCTCCAGCGTTGACTCCTAAGATTGGCCCAGGTCTGTTTCAGTCATTCCCGGGAAGCTGGCCCAGGTGTCTCAACTGAAAACTTAGTGATCAGATGTTTGGTTGTATATGCTCCTTGAGGGCCTGACGACTTGTCGTCGGTCGACGCGAGAATCAGGCCGGACAAATCAAGGCAAATGCAGATATATCGAGGTAAAGCCAGGTAAGTCCATAGATCTCCAGGGGAATTTGGAGCAAACAGTGACCGCTCCAGCGCGAGTTGAGGGACGGCAGAAGTCGCCAAGTCCTTGACGCTCAGACCTCCAACGTGCTGAAGAATTCAATGCGGAGGTCTCTCGTCGTATTCGGCTTTCCCTGAGATCCTGGCGCTGCAAGTGTTGCACAGCGGGCGATGCTGCATTCCCGAAACTCACTCCACAAACCGTTCCCGATGATATCAAAGGAGCTCCCTGCTCTCCTCTTCTGTTTGTCCATATGAAGGAAGATGCTCTCTAGGGCTCCCGCCGTGACTTTTCGCGACGTTTGTGATTTTTCGCGACGTCGGATCTCAGGATCTGGGGGCCCTCGCTGGGCCCCATGACCGTCAAAGAGCCACTCGGGATGCACCGCCGGCCTCGGGAAGAGGGCCGGGACTTCGGGGACCCCGCGTGGACAACAAAAGCGATCTACGTCGGACCTCTGTGCGCCACCGCCGTCCCCAGACCCCCTCGAGTCATGAAAAACTCAGGACGGGGGGCCTTTCCCTATCTTCGGGCTCTGAGGGCTCTCACCAGGCCTCGGGACCGTCGAGAAAACGACTCGGGATAAGAAGCCGGTCCTGGGGCCACTGGGGAAGGAGTCGAGACCTTGTGGGGAGGCCGTATTGGAAGAACAAGGCAGGGCATTTCTGGGGCGACCAACAGAGTGGTGCTACCCAGGATGGCGCCGCTCGGGCCTAGGATCGCCGGCGGTGCACGGTTGCCATCCTTCGAAGGGCAAAGAACCCGCATAAACATACGGTAGATTCATGCGGCGTTGGCGCGCCGGCGATGCTTGCGAAGGCGTCCAATGTTGAATTCTGCGACGCGGAAGCACCCAGGGACGCGGCAACGCCACTGGACCCGATAGCGTTAAGCTTTGAGCGGTCGTTGCCGCGATCGGCTCAAGGTTGAACGATCGACGCCGTGTCGAAAACCTCTGCGCGCGCCGACGCCGCACGAGTCCTAGCGTAAGTCATGTCTCGGATGTCCGCGCGGATATCGTGGATCGGCGCCAGGGGGAGGAAGGGCCCAGGTCCGACCCAGGAAATCCGCGCGGCGCTCCGAGAAATTATGCTTACGCGCTCCGTGCCTATATAATAATATATATATATAGCGCATACACATATCAACCATAAGAACAATATTAAAACACATCGTAAGAACAATAATCATAATAGTAGTCTAATAATGTTAGTAATGGGAAAAATGGTAACAATGGCAATGACAGTGTAAATCACGACAGTTGTGGCACTCAAGAAGTAGAATAATAGTAATAAGTGTACGAACAATAGCAATAATGAATTATAGTAAGCATAATATTACTGATGACAATGGTCATACTGAAAAAAAAAAGAATTACTGATGACGCTATCACGAGTAAGGATGATAGTGTTCATGATGAGGATACTACGAACAATTGGAATTCTAATAATATGCACATAGACAATCCTGCGCGGAGGAGCGCGACGGCGGCGGGAAGCCCGAGGTCTGGGTCGTGCAGCGCTACGTGGCGCCGGCGCTGCACCAGGGCCGCAAGTTCCACCTGCGGGCCCTTCTCCTGTGCGTCGGGGACCTGTCTGCGTACCTGCACGAGGGCGCTCGGGTCCTCCTGGCCTCCGAGCCCTTCGAGCTGGGCCGCCGCGACGCGGGGCGCTTCTACGCGCACGTGACGAACATGGGCGCGAGCAGCGGCCACGACGGCCCTCAGGGGCAAGGAAGGGGGGGGACGACGTTCGAGATGTTCGGGCGTCTTCGTCGGTCTTCGGCGGGCTTCCAGCCTCGGGGTGCCTCCCAGCGGCTGCGCCTCGCCGAGGGCGCTCCAGGGGTGCCCGGATCGTCCCGAGCGGCCGTCGGGGAGCCAGGCTATGGCCCGAAAGCCAAGGGGCAGCGGCAGGAGGGGACAGGCTCTGGGGGGGAGCGCATCGACCCCCCATCGCCCATTCATCGCCGACAGGGGCTCCGACCGCCCGCCCCGCCCAGGGCCCTGCGGAGTCGCCATCGGGGCCCAGGTCGCCCGACGATCGGCGCTGCATCGGCGCTTCCAGGTCGCCGTGCTCCCCCCGAGCCAGCCCCCCTTATGCAGTGGAGACCCATGCCAAGAGACACCCTGCTTGCCTCCAGGGGGCCCCGGGTTTCTTGGGTTTCGATGGCTCTGCGATGGAGAGCGTGACGCGCCCACACCAAAAACCGGTGGACGTCCTGCAGAGTCTCAGGGTTGGGCTTCTTGTGGAAGGCTCTTGTGGTCGAGCCCCTACTCTTAAGTCGGGTCCCTCCACAGGGGGAATATCCAAAAATAGTCAAGAAATAGTCTGGGGACTATGTTTTTAGTACTCTTTGACCATTCGGAAGCATTTCTCGAGTATTCTTCATTCTTCGTCGAGAATCCCTCTTGTAGGGGGACACGCCCGACTTAACCCTACTGCATCGTTGCGCCTCAGGCTTCGCCGAGGGCGCGCAGAACCTGCCGCTGTCCGCGCTGGGCGCCGAGGAGGAGGCCGAGCGCATCCTCCGGGAGGCGGCGCAGGCCGTGGGCGGCACGCTCGCGCGGCTGCGCGCCGCGGGCCGGCGGCAGTTCTTCACGCTGCCCAACTGCTGGGAGCTGTTCGGCGTGGACCGCCGCCGTCGTCGCCGCAGTCACCCCACGGGGTATTGGCGTCGCTGTGTGATCTCACTCGAGGAAGGAGAAGAAAAAGCAAAAAAAAAAAAAAAAAAAAACGGCACAAGCACAAGCTGTTGGCGTGCCGCGCGGGTCTCTTGGACCCGCGCTGGGCCCCCCCCCCCGCCCAGCGGCACCCCTGGCGCCACCCCTGGCTCCGCTCCGCGCGCCAGGGAGGGGGGTCCAGCGTGGATGCAAGGAATCCGCGCGGAGCGCCCAAAGTTTGTGTTTATGTGTTTGTCATTCTTCTGTTAACGGGCGAAGAACGTTATATAATCAATTCGTTCGCCGTCGGAGACGGCTGTCCCAGGGCGGCTGGCAAGTCTATACGCCTACGGTGGCACGTCAGGGTATAAAAGTTTCAGCCGCTTTGGGACGGGCGCCCCCGCTGACGGAACAGTTGATGTTATACCGTTCTTCGCCCGCTAAATGATAGTTTCGCCCCGGGCCCAAGAACCCCCGAGACGCCCGAAGAGGGCTGCTAGAGGCCCTCCATGAGGGCCCGGAGAGGCCGAAATCATGCATTGTCGATCGCTTGTTTCACGATTGTCGCATTCCTGCTGCTTCGGGCTTCCAACAGCCGAAGTTGACCCCAGGGGCCTCCAGGATCTCCCCAAAGACAGCCCCAAGCCCCCAAGAGGGCCCCAAGAAGGGCCAGGGGAGCACCAAGACAGCCCGAGAGGCCCCCAAGACGGTCCCAAACTGGCCAGCCCAAAACTGGCCAGTCCAACTCAAGGAATGCCCTAGAAAGTTTGGGTCCAGGGGGGGGGGCCGTCGTGATTCCTCACGGCGATGCCACTTTTACGCGACATCGGGTTTCGGAGGATGTCGCCGCCGCGGCCGTCGTCGCCCGCCGGCGCAGCAGCCCCTCTTGCTGCCGAGGGCCGAAGTGCTCGGGCGCCCCCCGTGGCTCTTGCCATCCTTCCCGGGGCTTCCCCGGAGGCGTCCTCGCTGCCATTAAGGGGTTCCCCTTGCGCAGTGCTGGCCAGGGCGCGCCCCGTGAGAGGTCCAGGTGCGTCGAGTCGGCAGGTGCTGGGCAGCGGGGCCCATGCCAAGAGGCACCCTGCTCGCCTCCAGGGTGCCCCGGGTTTCTGGGGATTCGGTGGCTTTTTGCGGTGGAGAGCGCGGCGCTCCCACGCCAGAAATCGATGGACGTCCTGGGGTCTCAGGGCTGGGCCTCTTGCGGAAGGTTTCTTAATGGACTGGCCCTCTACTGCAGCGCCGTGAGGAGACGGCCTGCCGGTTTTTTCCGCCGTGCCCTGCCCGGGCCCGGGGCCGTCCGCAAGACGGCCCGCGGGATGGAAAGTTTTTCCCAGTCGGACGGTTCTAGGACGAGGACAAATCTCGGGGGCGGCAAAGAGGGTGGTGATGACTAGGGAGGGGTGGATATCATGGCGGTGGCCATGATATTTTCTCAGATTTCATGGCGCCTCTTCTCATTTCAATACGTTCCCTGGCCCCTCCCCTGGGCAGCGCACATGCCGCCAGCCCTGATTTGCACCCCCCCTCTCGGACACCCCCTTCTTGGCCGCCCCCGAAAATCCGTGGGCATCGTTTTTCTTGTTTCCCTCTCCCCATTTTTACCTAACAGCGAAGACTGATAGGTTTCTAGTAGGGTCAAAAGAGAGCATCTTGACGCCCCAGGGGGGTCTGGGCGCGATCCGGGGGAGGATGCCGGGGATTTGTTTAAGCCAACAGTAACGCACTTCGTGGTCTTCGAGTTCCCAGACCTCCATTCCTGGGCATGATTTTGACCCGGAGCCAACTGTAGGCCACTTCGTGTTCCTCGAGTTCCCAGAACTCCATTCCTGGGCATGACTTTGAATGCCCGGAGCCAACTGTAGGCCACTTCGTGTTCTTCGAGTTCCCAAAACTCCATGCCGGGGCCACATTTTGAATGCTGAGGCAACCTGATGCTGAGGCTGAGGCAGGCTGAGGCTGAGGCAGGCTGAGGCAGGCTGAGGCTGAGGCCGAGGCTGAAGGCAGACTGAGGCTGAGGCTGAAGCAGGCTGAGGCTGAGGCTGAGGCAGGCTGAGGCTGAGGCTGAGGCAGGCTGATGCTGAGGCAGGCTGAGGCTGAGGCTGAGGCTGATGCAGGCTGAGGCTGAGGCAGGCTGAGGCTGAGGCCGAGGCTGAAGGCAGACTGAGGCTGAGGCTGAAGCAGGCTGAGGCTGAGGCTGAGGCAGGCTGAGGCTGAGGCTGAGGCAGGCTGATGCTGAGGCAGGCTGAGGCTGAGGCTGAGGCTGATGCAGCTGAGGCTGAGGCTGAGGCTGAGGCTGAGGCTGAGGCTGAGGCAGGCTGAGGCTGAGGCTGAGGCTGAGGCTGAGGCTGAGCAGGCTGAGGCTGAGGCTGAGGCAGGCTGAGGCTGAGGCTGAGGCTGAGGCTGAGGCCTGAGGCTGAAGGCAGACTGAGGCTGAGGCTGAAGCAGGCTGAGGCTGAGGCTGAGGCAGGCTGAGGCTGAGGCTGAGGCAGGCTGATGCTGAGGCAGGCTGAGGCTGAGGCTGAGGCTGATGCAGGCTGAGGCTGAGGCAGGCTGAGGCTGAGGCCGAGGCTGAAGGCAGACTGAGGCTGAGGCTGAAGCAGGCTGAGGCTGAGGCAGAGGCAGGCTGAGGCTGAGGCTGAGGCAGGCTGATGCTGAGGCAGGCTGAGGCTGAGGCTGAGGCTGATGCAGGCTGAGGCTGAGGCAGGCTGAGGCTGAGGCCGAGGCTGAAGGCAGACTGAGGCTGAGGCTGAAGCAGGCTGAGGCTGAGGCTGAGGCAGGCTGAGGCTGAGGCTGAGGCAGGCTGATGCTGAGGCAGGCTGAGGCTGAGGCTGAGGCTGATGCAGGCTGAGGCTGAGGCAGGCTGAGGCTGAGGCCGAGGCTGAAGGCAGACTGAGGCTGAGGCTGAAGCAGGCTGAGGCTGAGGCTGAGGCAGGCTGAGGCTGAGGCTGAGGCAGGCTGAGGCTGAGGCAGGCTGAGGCTGAGGCCGAGGCTGAAGGCAGACTGAGGCTGAGGCTGAAGCAGGCTGAGGCTGAGGCTGAGGCAGGCTGAGGCTGAGGCTGAGGCAGGCTGATGCTGAGGCAGGCTGAGGCTGAGGCTGAGGCTGATGCAGGCTGAGGCTGAGGCAGGCTGAGGCTGAGGCCGAGGCTGAAGGCAGACTGAGGCTGAGGCTGAAGCAGGCTGAGGCTGAGGCTGAGGCAGGCTGAGGCTGAGGCTGAAGGCAGGCTGATGCTGAGGCAGGCTGAGGCTGAGCTGAGGCTGATGCAGGCTGAGGCTGAGGCAGGCTGAGGCTGAGGCCGAGGCTGAAGGCAGACTGAGGCTGAGGCTGAAGCAGGCTGAGGCTGAGGCTGAGGCAGGCTGAGGCTGAGGCTGGCTGAGGCTGAGGCTAGGCAGGCTGAGGATGAGGCTCTGACTGCGACTGCCGTTGCCACTGCGACTGTCATCGCGAATGCGACTACGACTGCGAGAACAGCAGAATTCTACAACTGGATGCTCATCTGAATCTTAAGGGGAATCTTCCAGATATGCTCCTACACATTGCTGTTAGGTTGCTTTGCCGGGATAAGTGTTGTTTCCCGTGCGGCCTGTTCCCTCTACATGTTTTCCCTCTACGCTTTTTGTTTTCCCCCTCTCGGGGGGGGCGCGTGGGTGGGGAAAGGGCGGTGGAGGGTGCGGGCCCCTTGGGAGGCGCCGGATGGTGGATTATGTGGGGGGCCGCGTGGGACAACAAAAGAAAAGGGAGGGGAAAAAATAAAAGGGGCCTCCAAATCCGTTCCAGAGCGTTTCGGAACGCTCTCAGAGCGTTCGGGAGCGCTCTGAGAAGACCGCGGCGCCCGAGACATCCCCCAGAGCCGCTGGATTTCAGAGATTCTCGATTTAGCCTCACCCGATGTTCTCCTCGTCCTGGCTTCGTCTTAATTACCCAGGGGGAAGTCCTGGGGTGTCCTTGGTGTCCAGGTCCCATTTCCCTCGGGCCCCCCCCCGATCCAGCGTCATGAAGAATTCCTGACGGCCAGTTTTTCCTTTATTTAGACAGCCTTACGGCCGGTGCCACCAGCCCTGAAGGGCGGCGACGACGACGACGACGACGACGACGACGACGACGACGACGACGACGACGACGGCGGCGGCGGCGGCGGCGGCGACGACGACGACGCTGATTTTCTGAAGCCCTTCTTGGAGCTCTCTTGGGAGCGCATTGGGCTCTGTTGGGGCCGGGGCTGCATGGGGACGGGGCCGGGGGCCAGGGCCGGGGGCCGGGGCCGAGGGTTGGGTCGGGAGCCTCGAGACGGGGGTCAACGCAAACGGGGGTCAGCCAGGGCACCAGATCCTGCAGGATCCTGCGAAGACCCCCTCTGGCTGACCCGGGTTAGGGAGCCGCTCGTGGCCGCGAGGCGGCCGCGCGTATTGGCTGACCCGGGTTTGCGAGGATCTGCGTTGCAGTTTTTTTGTCCTGCATTGCAGGTTTTGGTTTCCCGCTGACCCGGGTCTGGATTGACCCGGGTCAGAAGATCCCCGATTGGGGCTTGAGCGGGAGGTGTGGCCGAGATGGGGGGCGGGGTCCTGAGCCCCCCTGCCCTCAGGGAGAGCACTTCCACGGGGGGACCGCCCGAGGGGAGGGGGATATCACGACCCCCGGGACACCCCCCTTGGACCCCCTCCGGGACCTCCCCCGGACACCCCCCCGCCCTTGGGACCAACCCCCTGGGACCCCCCCCAGGATGCCGCCCCCGCCCCCCCGCGGGGAAGGACAAAGGCTAAGGGAAGGGGCTCCCCTTCGACGTGTGATTACGGCATTGTTCGATCCCCCCCGTTTGTTCGATCTCCCTTGCGACGACGACGACGACGACGACGACGACGACGACGACGACGACGACGACGACGACGGCGACGGCGACGACGACGACGACGACGACGACGACGACGACGACTACGACGGCGACGACGATTCAAAGGAGGCCGGCGTACTTGAGTTTGGGTTTGGCTGGCCTCGCGCCGAAGGGCCTCTCACACACGCCGACTGGGTCGGCAGATTTCGGTTTCTGGACTCTGGAGGCCCGTTTCGTCGGGCCTCGGCACCACCAGAAAGAAGTCCAAGGTGAAAAGCTAATGCTGGGATGGGGTCCAAAGGCCTTGGCGCCCATGTCGCGACAAAAACGCGACGCCGAATGTCTAATCCCAGACATCTGGCGGCACGATTTTTCGAGACATGGACCCCAGGACCTCTCGCCCTCTCTCACTGGGTCCGATTTTTAGCCTGGGTCGTTCTGTTGATGGCCCTGGCCCGAAACTGGCCCCCAAAGGACCAAAGTGACCAAATTGGCCGTCTCGAGTCTTGTTCGAGCCGCCGGATGTTTCCGATTAGGACCTGCTCCTCGACGAGTCGCGCTCGCGCCGCGTGCTGCTCCTGGAGGTCCGAAGGAAGAGCAAGCTTGCGAGCGTGGGCCCAAAAACAGTAAGTGCAAGCAGCGTAGGGCAAGCTACGTGGTGCAATATATGCGGTGCAAGCTATGTGGTGTAAGCTACGCCGTGTAGGCGTAACGTATGCGGCGCAAGCTATGTGCTGTAAGCTATCTAGTGTAGGCCGTGCGACGCACTAACTGTGGTAGACGTGATGTGGCGTAAGTTGTGTGGTGCGAGCTACAGTCGGGTCGCTGAAGAAGGAACCCTTCTCGTTGGGGAGGGGCTCCGAGTTCCTTCAGTGTTTCACAGCTTGCCTCCGACGGAAAACCGAAGAGTGATTTATGGAAAAGGGGGGCCTCGTTCCTTTGTCAGGGTTCCTTAAAGTCAACGCCCCGACTGCATGTCTTGAGCAGCTGTGTGGTGCAAGCTGGGCGGTACAGAGCTGTGTGGTGTCCGCTCTGCGGGCGCCCGGCGCACGAGGCGCCCACCCGGCCGGGCACCAGGCGAGACCTCGGCTGCCTCAGCCAGCGCACGAGGCGCCCACGGGCGGACACCAGGCGAAACCTCGACTGACTGGAGGAGGCGGAGCAGGAGGAGGAGGAGGAGGAGGAGGAGGAGGAGGAGGAGGAGGAGGAGAAGGAGGAGGAGAGGGAGGAGAGCGAGGAGGAGGAGGAGAGGGAGGAGGAGGTTGAGGAGGAGGAGGAGAGCGACGAGGAGGAGGAGGAGGAGGAGGAGGTGGAGGAGGAGGAGGAGGAGGAGGAGAAGGTTTGGGCTTGACGGGTCCGCCTGGGGAGGCCGACCCGCAGCAAGTCTTCTGACCTTCAGTGCGTCAGCATCTCACGTAGGCTGACCACTATCTTTTCTTCCCGCGTGCGAGGCACCCCGTTGCCCGTCACGCATACCTTCCAGCCAGCGGAGCCCAGCTGGCATCGCCGAGCCCGAAAGAAGAGGTCCATCGCCAGGACCCTTCTACGAGTGTGGAGGGCACGGCGCCTGTTGGCCCGACATCATTCAGCCCCGTCGGCGGGCAACCTCAGCCAAGCAGGACGAGATCAGCAGTATATGGCCTGGCGTGCCGACCAGCGTTGGCGTTGCGGCTGCGGACAGCTCAACAGTGCAGCTTCTTGGTACTGTGCATGTGGTACTACCTACAAAGCGCCAACTCGTGCCCGTTTTGCCCAGCGCAACAGGGACAAGCACAAGCCGCCGTGGCAGGAGGCTCAGGCGATCGACCGCGAGACTCAGCAGGTGGTCGCCAAGCTCACCCCCGCCCTCAAGGAGACGGCCGAGGCCCATCCAGAATGGGAGCGATGGGCCCCCCCGCTCCAGGAGAACCTCCGTGCCAACTGGAGCAAGAGAGCGAAAGAGCGCCTCACAACCTTGGCCCGCCTCGTGGTTGCGGCGAAGAGGGCAGGCAAAGAGGAGACTCAGGAGCGAGAAGAGATGGCCATGATCAGCTACGCCATCACGCTCTTGAAACCGCTAGGCCAGCAACTAGCAGACGCACGCATGCGTCAGTCTCGCTTCGAGGAGCAGCTAAAGGACCTCCAATCCAAGCTACGAGATCTGGAGTCAAAGGAGGACGAGTTGATCGAGTTGGTCGGAGAGTCTCGCCAGTCAGTGCAGGACATCGAGCAGGCCATCCAGGAGGAGGAGGCTACCTTGGCAGCGCAACGAGCTGCGGCGCAACAGGAGGCGACGACCAACGGCGACGTGAATATGGATGGTGCTCCTCAACAGAGGCATCAGTGGACCCATGGGCAGAGTTACTTGGCGGCCGTGACGGGCCAAGCGCAGGCTCCTGTGGCGCCCTCAGAGGGCCCGCCCTGCCCGCCCCCACAGCACCCTCCGCCTACTTCGCCTCAGCCTCAGCCGACGGGCGAATATCCGCCCAGGTCCAGGCCGTCACTCCCGTCATCGTCTCAGGCAGTTGTGGAAGCCAGACGCTCGATTCCCTCTCGCCTAGGGTACACACCGAGCCAGAACGCCACGATGGCCGACTGCTTCTCGATGATGCTGAAGCGTCAGGAGGAAATGGACCAGCAACAGCAGCACCAGCAAGCTCTCTTGGCCAGCTTCATGCAGCAGCAGCAGCAGTTGATGTACCAGTTCCAAGGTCAGGGTCAGCACATGCAGCAGCAGTTCTCTGGCAATACATTGACCCATGCTCAGAGCCCGGCTCAGCAGCAAGGGGCTCAGGCGCAGACCACGGCTGGTCAGCAACAACATCTCCAGCAGCAACATCACGCCCAGGCGCTGCAGCCGCTGCAGGGTCAGCAGCAGGGCAACCAGCAAGCCCAAGCTCAGGCTCAGCAGGCTCAGCACGATCAAGCCATTCAGGCCCGTGCCCAGATGGAGGCACAGCAAGCCCAGCAGCAACACGCTCAGCTACAAGCCCAGGCCGCAGCCATCTTTCACCAGCAGCAGCAGCAGCAGATACCAGGGTTGCCCCCCGACATCGCGATGCAGTTGGAGGCTATGAAGGGCGGCAAGTCGGGCAAAGGCGTGGAGCTCTCCAGGGCCCAGACCGACCCCTACCAGGTGGGGCCCAATCCTTTTCAGCATCAGCCAGGAAAAGGACCCACGGGAGCCCCAGGGGCGATCTTCTCGGCAGCGGGGCTGGCACCTCGCCCTACGCCCGACTCAGCTACACCACTGACGCCGACACAGATTCCGCCATTGTCTCCTAGGAGTCGCCAGATTCCTGCGTCGGAGCCCCAGGAGTCGCCAGCAGCGCAACCAGCGACAGTGCCTGCGTCTATGTGGGAACGCGGAGGGGCTATGGGACCGACTCAGTTCTGGGGGACGCCGCCTACCCCGCAGCCATCTGCCCAGCCGTCCATCGAGATCTCGCCGACTCAGCCCCTCGAAGCGGAGTTCATTCCAGCACCTTCCCACTCGGTCACGGCTCCCGCCCCGATCGAGATCCTCAGCTCTCAGGACGAGAGGTCAGAGGTGGCAGCAGCGTTAGAAGCGGTGAGAAAGGTAGAGGAGGCGGAAGCTTTGGATGCGATCCAGCGGACGGAAGCGGCGGAGTCTGCTGCCAGGCTGCGGGCTTCCCTGCGGCAACCTGGTTCCTGTCCAGAGGCGGCGGCATCGACGGCGTTGCCAACAGCAGCCTCAGTCGCAGTACCCAGCACACCACAGAAGGCTCGGGGCGCCAGGCGCTCCGCTACCGACGAAACGGGAGCCAGCCCGGTGCCGACGGGTGCCACACCCGAGAGCAAATCTCAGACAGTCGAACGCAGAGCGGATACAGACCTGTGAACGACAGCACCAAGAAGAAGAAGAAGGTCTATTGGGGACTGCAGGAGACCTACTACTACATTAATAATTCAAAGATTGGATCGTCGTTGGATAGTCGTACAGTGCCAATTCAGCCAGTACACGCAGCTCCTGATGGTCTGCTCAGTTGTAGCTTTGATTTGAAAGAATCAATGACAGTTGCTTTCACTAAGCCGTTGGGTTCTACACGGCCAATACCTCAGCAGCAGAAGTGTGGCGTCACGCCGTCGGGTACAGCACGGCCAAGACCCAGTCAGCAAGTTTCACTTCTACCTCGGGACCTGGTAGTTGACGACTCGTATCATAATTTCTTCTACAAGCGGTTTCAGCACCCTGGAGATGGGGCCATCAATGCTCCAGGTTGTTCTCCGCGACTGACAGCATCAGGTACCCATGCCAATACCAGATGCTCTGTTGCCAACAGGTACCACGGCAGGACTGCTTCCAGTTTGGGGAAGGAAGCGGCTTCACAGCCCTTGCTCGCGGAGTGGTCAGACCCTGTGCACAGGGCCTTGAGCCCTCACAATCATACGAAGGGCGACACCAACGGCGTTCTATGGGGGGGGCACGCACCCTTAGAGCCCATACGGGTGAGCCAAGCTCTCTATCCAAAGGAGCGTGCGTTGCCCCCCCCAGGAGCACCACCAGTCGGCACACGGGGGACTTCAGCGAGGTGATGACCGAGCTGCGCAGAGAAGGGCATTATCAGCCCGAAGCTACTTGATGTCTCACCTTGAGCAAGTTTGCCCTTGCTGGGCCTATGACTCAGCATTGTGGTCAGAGGATCAGGCGAGACGGGACTGGCTGCTATGGTGCATTCCCATGGTAAGCAACCGTCTTCTTCATGACGAGTTTTTGCGGCCCCTACACAACGGAGATACTGACACTATTCGGGCGGTGGCAAGCGATATATGTGAGTCTGTATTCGCGAAGTATCACCCTCACCGTCTCAGCTACCTGCGTAGCTACTCAGCGGCATGGAGTGCTGGACCGATAGCGTGGCTGGGTATACTGCGTCGCCACCAGCACGAACTACTTGCAGCCAGACGCCGCTTGGGACATGCTAGCGAGCTCGGCATCACGGCCCAGACAAACATTGTCGATGTACTTCAGCGCATGTTCGACACATCCATGCGGCGGGCTCAGTTACTGGCTTCAGGAGGCTTGGGTGATTTGCTCACGGTAGAACAGCAGCGAGCAATTGCTGAGGAACAACAGCTTTTGGAATGGATGGTTGCACACGATGCTGAAGACCCAGCGTTTGTTCAAGCTGCACCTTTAGAGCATTACATCGCACCCGAGCTTCAATTGTACATGCCACCTCAGCCATGGGATGCTGACATCGAGCAAAGTTCCGAAGTTCAAGATGGAGAAGCTCCCGTTGATCGCAGCCTGCACAGCGAGCTTGACGAGATTGCTATGGTACAGACAAATCTCAAGCTGTTACCTGTGTCGGTGGCAGCTACTGCGCTACGTGGGGCAAATGCCAGACAGATGGATCCTGTTCGGCTACAGTCTCAAAGGCATCAGCGTCGCATCGAGAATGAAGTGCGTGACCAAGTCCCACATTGGAACATTTTGGAGAGTATCCTTGATCCAGGTCAGGCCATGCAGGATTGGCAGGCCATATGTACGCCATATGTTCACAATATGTTGTTATCTCTTCCAGCAGTTCAGGCGGATATTCGGGATCCTGCTGATGCTTGGACCATCGCTAGGGATATC